ACGGGATTGTTCTGCATTAAACTGTAGCACTGTAGAGGTACTTCGTTTTTTCAGGGAAAATTTAAAAGGGTTCTAAACAATAACAAAATAAATGTAATGGAATGATTCATGTATACCACCGTTTGGTACTTGCGAGTCAATGCACTATTTTAAAGCTATATTTTTAACAAAAGCATTGCAGATCAGTCCTTTTTCCCACCGATTATCGATTTTCTACCCCCTGGACGTTTTTGCCTCGGCAGGTGAAAAACAGCAGACTGCATAAAGCCAGGAAAAGACGCAATGGGAACTTCTGCAAGGCAGTTTGATTTTAATGGAACAGACGATGACTCCATGGGAAATCCACACGCACTGTTATATTTACGAGTTGGTTAGTATCAGAAAACGAACGAATGAGGGCAAGGAGCTAGTGAGTTTTCTGATAAACTTCAACGAGAGAATATAAAATCGAGTAAATCATTCTTCTCCTTGGTGTAATTTGGCTAGTTTATTGGTACTGAGATTTGTCTTGGGCCAAGACTTTAAACAAAACTCAGACGACAAAGAAGAAAACTACGTACAAGTATAAGTAGTTTAAGGCTGAAATTAGAAATTCCTCCAGTTGCTTTTACATTCAACAGGGAACCAAACGGATCGTTGTGGTAAAATGTTTGTTCGGACGGCCTCTAATCCCCTCCGATTTTATTTCGAAAATTGTCACCTTGAACTTTCGTGATATGACAGATTTAATGTCTGTTGTTTTCGGAATGATAAAACTGTCGTTTTAGGTACAAAAAAGGGCAAGCTAATGATTTTCGGAAAGGAAAGAAGACCTAGGGTTTTCGAGAAATGGACAAAAATCGACACAATCCCCATCCAAGCGGCTACTACTATTGATAACAGGCGTCTGTTGAAATGGCTGGGGTTTTTTTAGGTCATTGCGCGCACCGTTAGTTTCAGTTACGTGATTCAAAAAAGTGATCACGTGTTGACGATTTCATGATCGTGTGATAAGTGAATCTCTGCCCTCGGGAAAGTTGCTTCACAGTTTGTTTGCAAGTTTGTTGAACAATTTCTAGCACGATGCAAAATCCATCGCATGGATAAGATATTGCCTCGAACTTGGTATATTTGAGGAATTTGCAGCCGCTGTGCTGCAAACTATGGCTATTTGCGCCAAGACATATTTGTCAGCACGTGATCACTTTTTTTGAATCATGTGAATGAAACCAACGGTGCGCGAAACGGCATACTGTAGTTTTTGCGGACTGGACTGGACTGGACTAGTAAAACGAGGACTTGTTAAACGCGGACTTGTAAAACGCAGACTAGGGAAAACGAATTAGTAAGTCGAATTCTGTCACTCCCGACTCCCCTTGGGAGACTTTAGTTGCCATGTGTTCAAGTAAGCGAGTGTTTTGAATCGCAGGAGTTTGTCAAAAGTTGTTATTGTGCCGTTCGTTTACCTCCAAGCAAACAGTTCGGTAAGTTAACATTTCGCCTTTGCTATTCAAAGAAGCATTTGGAACTTAATACCTTTTTGTAATTTTCAGAAAACCTCACTCACGTATACATTCGTACACGTATGCCTTTGATGGAAGCGAAGAGTTTTATTCAAGTTGTTGTGACTTTGTTCATTGACCNTTTTTGTAATTTTCAGAAAAAACCTCACTCACGTATACATTCATACATGTATGCCTTTGATGGAAGCGAAGAGTTTTATTCAAGTTGTTGTGACTTTGTTCATTGACCGAGGTCGTGCGGTCGATGTGTGCCTTTTGAGCTTGAGCCCATTGTGAACTGTGAGTTTTCGACGTTTGTTTTGAGAAGAAATAAAGACAGGTACTACGGTACTGACAAATTCCACATTAATTGTGTTTATTTGAACGATCATCTCTCATCCAAAGAACTTCAAATACTAATCAACTGTAAACTTCTAACATACTTAGAGCCACCAAGTAACATTACATCCATTCCGTGCAAAGATATCTTGCGTTCTATTAAATAAATTACAATTAATTTGGCTGCATTAAAAACTTCAAATTCTAAACTTAATGTAGACAGCCAAAAATA